ATGCAAAGAAAATCGAAAGAGAAAGTGAATGCAGAACAGGGATCTCGATAAAGAATAGAAACAAAGAGAGAACGAGAGAGAAACAGGCAGACAGACATATAAACAGACATATAAACAGACATCCAGCCTCGTATACAGAATAGAGAAAAAAATAAAAAAGAGACAAAAAAACACAATAAAACAAAAGACAAACGATAAAAGAAAAAAAAATAACACGACATTCAAAAAGTACAAAAGACAAAATAAACGTAAAGCCACAAAAAAGCAACTTCCCAGCGACTAAATCGGGCGAACACATGACCTTTCCTGCCTCTCTGAGAGCCCAATGCGTCTCCCGGGTTGGCCAGGGCCTCCCAGGCGATAAGACGGAGGGCTGGGGGAGGGTGAAGGCGGAGGGGGGGGAGGGGGTGAAGGCGGAGGGCGGGGAGGGGTGAAGCGGAGGCTGGGGGAGGGGGTGAAGGCGGAGGGCTGGGGAGGGGGTGGCGGAGGTGGGGGAGGGGGGTGAAGGCGGAGGCTGGGGGAGGGTGAGGGCGGAGGGTGGGGGAGGGGGGTGAAGGCGGAGGGGTGGGGGAAGGGGTGAAGGCGGAGGGGTGGGGGGGGTGGCGGAAGGCGGGGGGTGGGGAGGGGGTGAAGCGGAGGCTGGGGAGGGGGTGAAGGCGGAGGGTGGGGGAGGGGGTGAAGGCGGAGGGGGGGGAGGGGGTGAAGGCGGAGGGGTGGGGAGGGGGGTGAAGGCGGAGGGTGGGGAGGGCGTGAAGGGGAGGGTGGGGAGGGGGGTGAAGGCGGAGGGGTGGGGGGGTGAAGGCGGAGGGGAGGGGTGGGTGGCCGGGGTGAAGGCGGAGGGGTGGGGGAGGGGGTGAGGCGGGGGTGGGAGGGGGTGAAGGCGGAGGGTGGGGAGGGGGGTGAAGGGAGGGTGGGTGATGAAGGCGGAGGGTGGGGAGGGGTGAAGGCGGAGGGTGGGAGGGTGAAGGCGGAGGGGTGGTGGGAGGGGGGTGAAGCGGAGGGGTGGGGGAGGGGGGTGTGTGAAGGCGGAGGGGTGGGGGGGGGAGGGGGTGAAGGCGGAGGGTGGGGAGGGGTGTGAAGGCGGAGGGGTGGGGGAGGGGGTGAAGGCGGAAGGTGGGGGGAGGGGGTGAAGGCGGAGGGGTGGGGGAGGGGGTGAAGGGGAGGGGTGGGGGAGGGGTGAAGGCGGAGGGTGGAGGGGGGGGTGAAGGCGGAGGGGTGGAGGAGGGGGTGAAGGCGGCGGCGCGGCTGGGGGAGATAGGGTCAGGCGCTCCTGTGGGGTCATGGGGATTGGGGTGAATGAAGTTTTATTTAAATTTCTTGTCTTTTTTCTCTCTCTCCCTCTTTATCTTTCTCTCTCTCTCTCTCTCTCTCTCTCTCTCTCTCTCTCTCTCTCTCTCTCTCTCTCTCTCTCTCTCTCTCTCTCTCTCTCTCTCTCTCTCTCTGCCTGTTTTTCTGCCTGTCTTTCTTCCTCTTTTTTCCAATTCACATCTTTTCCCTTTCCCCTCTTCATTTCTCCCAACTTTTTTAAATGCATTATCATCTTTCTCTGTTCTATCTCCATTTCCCCGCCCTTATTCTTTCGTTTTTTCAAATATTTTATACTCGCTTTTATTTTTCAATATCTAAAAAAAAATGTCAGTAACATAAAACATTGCGAGTGAAAATATGTGAAAGAGACATAAAAGCAGAGGGAAAGATAGAGATAAAGGGAGACAGAAAGAGAGGGAAGAAGAATGAGTGGTAGGTGTAAAGTGTTATTTTTATTATGATTTTCTTTTTGTTATGTTATCAAGTTTCATCCTCATATTGTTATTATTATAATTGGTAGTATTGTTTTTTTTTCAGAAACTAAAGTATCATTTATTGTTATCGTTATCATTATCGGTATCATTTAAATTATCATTATTATTATTACTATTATTGTTATCATTATTACAGTTAATATTAGTATTATTCTAACACTGCTATCATTATCACTACTTATTAGTTATCATTATCATTGCTATCATTGTCATTATCATTACTTTCATTACCATTATATTTATAACTGTCGTTGTTGTTACTGTTGTTATTTGATGATGATAATGATAGCAATAGTGATAATGATAACAATAATAACGATGATAATAGTAATGATAATAATGATAACAATTATCAGTATTACTAGGTCTATTACTTTTCCTTATTATTATCTTTATCTTTGCCATTATTGTTATTGCTACAATTATTCTTATTAATATTCCTATTATTATTATTATTATTATTATTATTATTATTATTATTATTATTATTATCATTACTATTATTATTATTATCATTACTATTATTATTATTATCATTATCATTGTTAGCATCATTGTCTATCATTATCATTATCATTAACATAAATGTTATTATCATCATCATTGTGATTAGTATAATTTTATTAGGAGTATCATTGTTTCTTGTTATAATTTTCATTTTTATTATAATAATGATTATAAATATTAATATCATTACT